ACGGACCTTTTTACTAATTTAATTTAAGAGAGAATTTTAACAGGAAAATTTAAAAAAACTAGTTTATATTTTTCAACATAATTCATATTAGTTGGCTGAAAACAGTGCATATTAGTAGCCAAGAATAATGAGTTAATTCATTTCAAACATCTAGCAAAATGAGCAATAAGATAAAGAAAAATATTAAGGCTACATAAACATCTAATGTATTTTTACCAACCAAAACAGTTGTCAGTTAGGCCTCTTGTTGGCTTTATAATGAAAACACATGATGGGTACAAAACTTAGCCATTACACAGAGATTACACCCACTCTTCATTAAATTAATACTTTATATACCTTTTGTACCTCAGAAGTTGCTTCAGCCTCAGAGAATATTCATTTCGATTGCAATGTATTATGCACAAAGGGTGTTAAATGACTAAGGGGGCCTGATCACAAGCCCAAAATCAATCTCAGAGCCCAAGGCCAGTGAGCCGATGTCTACCCTCAGGCCTCTGCTTACCTTTCCACAGCTAGCCACAGCTTCTAGAGGAACTTTTCTGAAATCAAAGTTCTTTCTCACTACTCTCTTCCTCGATAGCTATTAAATATTCCCAAATGCAGAACACTTAAGAAGACCTTCAGAACACTGAAGGTACAAACTAACCTATGCATCCCGATAGCATGGACCTTCCCAAATATTTTACTCAAATGCACTGTGGTCTCTCCTATTGTTAACAGCAGAATGTTTGTGTCCTCCTCAGATTTATGTGTTGAAATCATGGCCTTCAAGGTCATGATGCTAGGCTGAAGGCAGGTCGTTAGGCTATGAGAGTGGACCCTCTCATAAATGACATTGTTGACCTTATAAAAGACAACATCGGGGAGCTGCTTCATCCCTTCTGGTGTGTGAGGACACTGCAAGAAGACAACTATCAGGTAACCAGGAGACTGGTCTTCACCAGACACCAAATTTGTGGGTTCCTTGGTCTTATTCTTTTTCTGGTGGGATGACTGCTGGAATGTATTTGTATTTGTGTAGCTCCCCCAGCCTCAAAGATGAATGGCCATCACTTCTTACTTTGTGCTGTCACAGCTCTTTGACAAACTATGCATATAGTAGTTCCCATTCTGTATTGTAATTAAATATTTCTGTGTTAAAAACTGCAGATAGGCCATAAATTTTTTAGAAGCAAAACTCATCCTTATTTATGTTTTTGTTTTCCTAGACTTATGGCAGAACTCTGCAAAAACTTGCTATTTAATGAATGTTTATAAGGTGAATAAAGGAATGTATTTAAAGATTATATAATTCCATCAGATATGGCCATTCTATTGAAAATACATAATACAAATTATTCTAATTAGGAAAATAAATATAGCTTCACAATATAAATAATATACAAACACTAAAAGCATAGAATAGTGCACCATATAAGAACTTGGATACCACAGGGAATGATGCATTTAATGACTGATGAAGGGGTAACAGTCTCAAAAGAATTTATATATAATTTTTATAATTAACCAAGAGAGATGACAGCTAGCTTAGAAGACAGGGAAACAGACCATTCTACTTGATTTGATTAGCATATATGGCAATTATATTCTGTATCAAACATGAAGACACATAGACCAGAAAGCAGAATAGAAAATTTAAAGAGATAACCTTGCTAGCCTTCCACCAAAACCAACCAGACAAGCCAAAAATCTAGTGACAAATCAAACAAATAAACTTATCCATTTAAGCATATCCTTAAGAAATTTGTAGAGAAGATCACTATGCATACTAACATTAACTCATTAAGAAAAACAGATTACTTCAAAACAACTTCCTATGCATTATAATGCAGTCAGCCAAAAGCCTTGGTGATAAACAACCACAGTCCTGGCATTTGGGAGGCAGAGGCAGGAGGATTGGTGTTTCTAGGGAGGAGAAGATGTGGAGTCAGATTTGGTGTTCTCTAGAGATAAACATCTACTTGTTTTTGTTTTTTTAATCCTTTGATGCAAGAATAGTGTTTCCTTAATACCGACTGTGTAGGAAGTAATGGAGTGGCTTCTGTGATCCATAAGGTCTCTTGAAGATTTTGTTGCTGTGAGCCAGTTTCCCCCAAAGCCAGGTCAAATGAAATAACTGAAATGATCGTAAGAACCAGTGATCCATAACCATTACGGCAGCAGATGAACTTGTTATACCATTTTGCTGCTGTTCATAACACCATGCAATTTAAAAGGAGTTTCTCCTGAAACCATGAGATAAATCTAGGGGTTTATTTTTTGTCTTTTTTTTAGAAATAACTTATTAAATGGAAAGAATCTGGGCTAATAGGTTCTAAGTAACCTTGGGAAACAGAACCATGTGCTCTTGTGACCTAGATACCTGATCTTGCGTCCCTGGGAACCTCACTTTGCTACTTCATCCAAAAAGATAATGAATGAATGTGGATGTGCTTGAGAATTATATATCAAATCACTGAAAGGCAACACATGCATCTTTATTGAAAACAAATAAGATGGAGAACTATTGCTTGACCTTTTGTGTATGAGATGTTCCAGGACTAGGGATGGAAGGACAGGGCTGTGATAAGACTAGGGTGGGTCCAACCTTATACCCCCCAGTGGAAGCTGGATAAATGGTTTTGAATAAAAATTTGACTCAGGGACAGAGTTCCTGGACACAGTTCCAGGACATGGTTTCAAGAAACATTTAAGGGAATGGGTAACCTCCGAGTTTGGGCCCACTCTTAAAAACCAAAGTTAAGAATCAGGCTGGTTTATTCAGGTAATTGTAATGTACCATAGTAAGTCCGCATTTTTTTTTTTAACTCAGGTATTTTGTCATAGAAATGAAAACCTTACTAATTCAACAGAACACCTAGAATGAGGAATTCACAGAGACAGCGCAATAGTGGTTTCCAGGATCTGGGTGGAAAGAGGGATGGGGATTAATGTTTAATGGCTCAGTGTTTCAGCTTTGCAAGTTAAAAAGAATTCTGAAGATGGACAGCATGGTGGTTGCACAGCAATGTGAATGCTCTCAGTACCACTGATCTGTGTACTTAGGATAGTTGCGATGATACATTTTATATTACATATATTTTTCCATAATAAATAGATGAAAGAAATTAGAATATCACCATTTCAGCCTTTGATGAATTAATGTTTTAAGCACTGTATTAAACTAAAAGAATAAAGAGAGCTAAGAAGCTGTGACAGGACTCCTCATTTAAGAGCCCCGCACAATCTATAGTCATGCCAAGGAGGTTAGGCATGGATTTTATCAATGCCCCAACTTGTAGAAAATACCAAGGGCAAAGGAGCAGGTGAAATGTAGAGATGGACCATTGGAAACTCTATAGGTTAGTTAACATATTTTCACCTAATACATTATAAGAGATGATACCAATATAATACATCTGGGGAAATTATTTGAATGATAGAACTGCAAAGAAACACAAGGAAATGATTGTTATAAAGTTAAATGTTAAGATATCAGGCACTTTTGGGCTAATACACCAGGAAAAATTGTGGGATGTCAGAAATGCTAATTTTTTTTTTTACCTAGGTGGTGTTTGCTAGTGTTTTTTTTTATTATAATACACATTAAGATGTAATATGTGAGTGTTAAATATTTACAATTCTTATTCTTTTATTTGCATTTTAAATGCATGAGTGTTTTGCCTGCATGTATGTAAGTGTACCTGTTGTGCAATGCTGGGGGAGGCCAGAAAAGGGCATTGAATCTCCTGGCACTGGAGAGAATTAAAGTTGTTAGCGGTCTTGTGGAGGTTGGGACCTGAACCTGGGTCCTCTGCAAGAGCAGTCAGTATTCTTAACCATGGAGCATCTCTACAGCTTTGAGTGTTAAACATTAAAAAAAAAAAAAAAAAAAAAAAGCCCTCAACCAATTAACTAAAGTACCTCGGCTTCTTCTAGGTTCAAATATAATATTTTCTTATGTGTACTAAATTCTTTAGATATAAATTAAATACTCTGGAATATCTAATACAGAGAACTTGATGTTCAAATTGCATTTCCCTCAATATTAAAAAAAACAAAGAGGTTAAGCTAAGGTGATATAGGCAGATACAGAAAAGCTTTGTCTCACATACAAGTTACAGAAGAATGAAAATCTAAGAATTTTCAAAAAAAGAATAAGGTCCCACTGTAAAGTCCATGCAACTGAGGTGATTTTTTTTTTCTTTGAGATTAAATAAACTCAGAATAAAACTAAAATGTTCCTTTTCCCTTATTAAATCCTGAAATGTTTGATTAAGAAACTTTGCAGAAAACAATGATTGCACTAATGCCGACAAGTGAAAACAGTCACTGAAGCCCTGAGGCTGATGGAATGGAAGAGAAGTAGATCATCATGGGAAATAATGTGAAAGGCATTATGATTTGAATAATAAGGATTTCTTTATATTTCAACTCACAAGTAGAGAGCATTGCCTTATAAACAATCAAATTTGTTTCCTTCTTGAAATCAGTCAACTCCCTTCAAACTAAGTAATACGTATATTAAGGCTGAGTGTGGTAGTGCACATCTTTAATCCCAGCATCCAGGGGGCAGAAACGGGGATCTCGGAGTTTGAGACCAGCCAGTGCTACATAGCAAGATCCTGTCTCAAACAAAACAAAACAAACAAACAAACAAAATTCACAAACAATAACCAATAAATAGAAATAACTTGAATTTTTTGACTATTGCACTGGACTTAGAAGCTGAAGTGCATTTTTTTCAGTTCTTTCATCAATTTATAGGTTTATGGATTTATGGAAATTTCTTTGGTAGTTGAGAGTCTACTAAGGAATCATTTTTTTGTGATTTTTATGTTGAGTAACATAAAACAAGAATGTCTAAATTTAAAAAGAAAGCACTTTAGATTTAAGGAATAACTGGAGTTCCTTAATGGAGCTACGTGACTTATTTCCTTAGTTTGCTTAATGAGATTCAAGACAACCAAGAAGCAGTTGAGTTTTCTGGTGAGGCTGTCAGATAATCACCCTCTTACCCTCCATGATGGTCAAAGGATCTTCCACCTTTGGGCGCAGGATGTTAGGACCAAAGACTGTTGCCAAGTTCTGTGCACTCATCTTGTTAACTCCTGAATAGGACTGCACTTCATCCAAGAACCTAGCAGTTACAAGAATAGGATTGAAAACACGGGACTCAGTTTCTTAGTGGAATGAAATGGGTCATTGGAAAATTTATGAACTGAAATATGTTCAAAGATGATTATCTTTGTTTATGGAAAAAAAAACTGCATAGAAATTCAAACATCTCTCACTCCAATGTAGAGAAATTACACTGCAAGTGACGAGCATCAGGCTTTAGGGGCCATGGCAAAGATCTGTTCTGGTCTGGCCTGGCTTGGTTTCCTCTGTGGGTCAAAGTGTGTTTGGACATTAACATGGAATTTGAAAGTCAAAATATATATATATATATTTGCTGTGGTTTACATGAGAGTCCCTCAAAGGCTCATGTTTTAAAGGCATGAAGCCATTATTGTGCAGTGAAAACTTCAAGAAGTGGAGTCTAGTGCAAGGTTTTCCAATTATTGTGTGTGTCCTTGAAGGTGATATTGGGACTCAACCCCACTATACAGTGAAAAAAAGAGAGGACACATGAATTGGGAGGGAACAGCAGTCAGGGAGGGTAGGGGACGAAAAAGAGAGGAGGGAATTGGAGTGTGGACTTGATTAAAACACATTCTCTACATGTATGAAATTCTCAAACCGTAACAGGATGAAACACATACAAATAAAACGGGAACGAAAACAAAAGAGTTGAAGAGCCTCAATCCTTCTCTTTTATTTAACTGTAGCTGGACTTGAAGTTAAAGATTTTTTTTTATATTTTATTTATTATTTTTATTTTATGTGCATGATTATATTGCCTGCATATATGTGAGTGCACTCATGTCGTGCAATGCCACAGAGGTCAGAAGAGGGCTTCAGATTCCCCTGGAACTGGAGTTAAGGACTGTAGCCACCATGTAGGTGCTGGGAATCGAACTCGGGTCCTCTGCAAGAGCAGTCAGTGCTCTTAACCTCTGAGCCATCTCTCCATACCCAAAGTTAAAGGTATTTATGAAGAAATTATAAAGCTCTTAAACAGGCATATAAATGTTTTTTAAAAGGTAGGTTTATACTGATTTGAAATGCAATAAACAAAGGCAATGCATGGCCTTCAAATAAAATACACTTAAAGATTTAAGAAAAAATTTGGTCATTAAATGAATGATTTTGCAATGTGGGCCTGCCTTGTTATCTTGCCTCACTCTGACAGGCCCAAAGAGACACGAACAATCATGTATGCACTGAATGTCTCAAACGGTGACACTAATGAACCTTTTATCCTTTTTAGTTGATATGAACTTAGATATTTTGTCATATAAATAGAAAGACGACTAACATATCTTCCAACACTTTGGGTATTAAGTCTATGTATATATTCAATTATAGAATGGTATAAAAATCATCTGATAAAATCCCCCTTTTTAAAGAGAGGGACCTCTGTCTTTGTGCTGGAATTTGTGAACTTCTAATTTATAGTCTATTACAACATAAGATCAAATATTGTAGAAATGAAAAGATCAGTTCTATTGATGAAAACTTGCAAGCACTAATTATTTCAGTTAACGGGTGCTTAAGAAGGCATGAACTGGGGCTTCCTGGGATACTTTTGGTGGAAAGACTGCTGCGTATTCATTCAGCCTTTCTCACTGCAGCCTGCTCTTCCCTTCTGCAAGAGCTCCTGCTCTCTCATGGCTTGAAAACTGTATGACGAGATAAAAAGAAATGCTGAAAAATAAAAATAGCATTTATACAGCGCTGCACTGTGTCAGGCAAGATGCTAACCGACTAAATTCTGAATGGATGTCTGCAAAACAGACATTACTATCTTTTCCATTTTACAGATGAGAGAGGAGATAACAGGGAGATTAACATCTTAGGATCTAGAGCTAATAAATGGCAGAACGGAGATTTGAAACCAGACTCATAGCGTCTGTGCTCATAGATATGAGACCAGGAGTTTTATTTATTTTTATTTTTTAAAAATATCTATTTATTTTATTTTATGAATATTTGTGCATTGTCTGCATGGATATAAATGTACCCATGTCATACAATGCCTGCAGAGGTCAGAAAAGAGTGGAATTCCCCTGGAACCGGAGTTATAGATGGTTGGTAGCCATCATGTGGGTACTGAGGATTGAACCCAGGTCCTTTGCAAGAGCAGCCAGTGCTTAATCTTATCTAGATTAAATTAAAAATCTTGAATAGTTCAAGAGAAGACTTTCGTTGTGTAAAGACTTGCAATATTGTATTCAAACAAGCCTTTAATTTTCTTTAATTTAAACAGAATGGAACCTTTTCCTACCTAATACAGTAACTTGAATGAGTTAAAATTCTTGAATGAAATGAAAATTCTCTGTGCTCATATTTATGTATAGGTAAAAAAAAAATTTGTGTTTTTTTCAAAGTGTGAAGTTGAAGGTCCAATTTGCTTCTAACAACAATTACTAGAAAAAGTTGTGATGTAAAGTTTGGGATTTCCTTCTCAGTTACAATGACATTGCCTAGCATCTAAAACTTCATAGTTCCTAGCTAGCTGTGTGACCTAGGTGTTTTCACTGCCTCCTTTTTAGAACCCTGGACTCAGAAGAGACAAAAATATTGTATAAAGATGTAGCAGTCATCAGTGATAAGAGTCTGCATTCCCAAGCAGAGCTTCTTCATGTGAAGGCATACATTCCACACTGCTTTTTCAGTACTGTGGTACACGGGCTGGTATGTAACAACTTTGATGGAAGTTCAGAGCAACGTATCTTTAATATGTGGAGGCACGAGAAATTTCAAAATCACCAAATTACAAAAAGCAAGCAATTTTAGTGCTCAGGAAATCTTTGAGATAACCTTGTCGAACCTCTTAATTTTCCAGGAGACTAACATAAAAGCACCTGAGATTTTATCCATTGTTCAGTAGAAATTATTGTCAGGCAAAATATAATCTTGTCTAGTTCAACTTTGCCTTTAGAGAAGTTCTTACCTGCAAATATACTTCAGGAGGTTGTAATTAACCACCGGCAAACTCTTCACCTGTTTCGCTAATTCCTTAACACCCTGAGTACAAACAAGAAGAGAATGAATGCATGTATATTATTATCTTTCTATGCATTAGCCTTGGAATTCAATCAAGGAGGAAATACCCACACAGGATTTTATTTTTTCCTTCTTAATATATTGTTGGTGAGCAAACCTTTCCACCAACATAATGAGCAATTAGAAATATTTCCAAAGATGTACAAATATTCTAAATACCTCTGTAAACACAGTCACACATTGCATGATATTTCAGTCATGATAGTCTACATATAGAATGATGGCTCAACAGATAAATCATCTAGAGATGCCGCAGTCGTCTCTGTTTGCAAAACTACACACTGTGGTCTTTGCATAATGAAGACACTGCCTAGAGATGCACCCCTCGGAGCTGTTATGGAATACAGGGGCACTATTTTGGAAACAGATTTAAGTGAAGCTCTTTTACTATTTTAAAATTTTGTTTACAGTTGACTTGAAAACAGAAGACAGCTTCATTTTCAATAAAGTTATTTGGAAAAACCAGACAGGATATAGTAAACATCCTTCAAAAATTAACATTCCTAAAATATAGAGATGTAAGTCTACTGGCAAACTGGACATGTCTCTGTGGTCATGTCTATGATATATGATATGGGGTGGCAAGAGTTGGAAAGCCTGAGGTGGTAGCATTTCACAAAGGATGAATTTCTTTGGTTTTTCACTGTAGAATTCATTGTAGAGGTTCTCTAACATGTAAAGGATCACAAAAAGGTCAATTGAAAATAGGATCTGCTTTCTTCTTTCTGTGCGTGGTCAGGTAGTGTTTTTGGCTTCACAAGACAGGTAGTCTCTGTCACAAATACTCTTGTGGTGCAAAGGGATATAAGGACAGTATCGCATGGCACACAAACCAGAACAGCGTTTGTGAAAATATAGGCAGCAGTTCCTGACACAAATGCCAGGAAAATCCAATGGTGGAAAGAACATTTTCTTCAACAGATGGTGCGAAGACTGAAGTTGCCCCTCTCCTCACACCATAAACAAGAATGGACCCAAAATGGATCACAGACCTCACTGTAGTTATGAAGTCATACAAGTCTTGGAAGAATTGAAAGCACTAAATATTTATGACTTTCCATTAAAAGAAAGCGTCTGAGCTATGACTCAGAACGCACAAGCAATCAAAAGAGGTAAATTAGATTTCATCCAAATTGGAAAGAATATTCTGATAAGTTTGTGATAAAAGACATCATCAAGGTAATGAAGCATGGGAGAAAATATTTGAGAATCACATGTATGAGTCCAAACTTATTCTTAAGCTTTTACAAAGCAATAATAAAAGAAAAACAGTTTGCTTTCCACATCTGAGCATTCAACAAACTACAGATTAAAAATATTAGAAAAGAATTGCATCTGTACTGAACAAGGCCAGACTTCCCTCCTTGTTGGTGTTCACCAAACAGCACACGAACAATTATTTTAAAAGAATTTGTATTACACTGCATTAGTTTTTACACATACCTAAATCCAACTCAAAATATACAAGAACTTGGACATCAGTTATTGTAAACAATAGACAGTTTTAGATAAAAGATTCAAAGCTCCCCAGGCTTATTATGTATCTTCAGGGAGTTCCTGTACTATGCTGTTTAGGGATTAGGATGCTTGCAACCCAAGTAAAAATGGAATATAATCTGACTAGATATTTTCCAAAGAAAATGCATAAATAACAAAGAAATAGATGAAAGATAATAAGCACCACGAATCATCTGGAAAATGCCATTCAACTTTAATGGCACACCACTTCACATGTGTGATTGCCTATAATAAATAAAGCATGTCAGTCTGTGATGGCTGAGATGTGGAGAAACTGGAAAAGGCATGCTTTGCTTGGTAGCTGTGATTTTCAAATACCACAGCTTCTTAGGAATGTATAGTTATGTTCTGCCCAGCAATTCCACCTTGTAAGTATACAAACAAGAAAAATATAAACGCATGTCAGCGCAAAACGGTAGGCACACGTGTTTTCACGGCATCTTTATTCTGATAGGCAAATAATGTAAACAAAACAAATGTCTTTTGACTGATGAGTGGCTGATAATGAGATATTATTTGGAACTATAGGATAAAAAACACTGCTAAGTGGTACAGCAAATAAATGAGCTAAGGAAGAGATGGAAGAAGCTAGACACACACACACACACACACACACACACACACACACACACACACACCCCAATATACTGAATGACTATATAAAATGTCTAGAATAGGTAAGTGTAGGGAAAGAAGATAGATCAGGAGCTGCCAAGATCAGGAAGAAGAGAGGGGCAAAGAAGGTCTGGACTTTGTTTTAGGGTATTAAAAATGTTGTAAGTATTCTAAAGTTAGATTTTGGTCATTGTTGCACAACTCTGAGACTGTGCTAAAAGACAACGAATTATGCACTTTAAATGGTTGATTTATAGTGTATAAATAGCATCTCAAAAGGGTTGTTTTTAGAAAAACAAGCAAAGGCAGCTGTTGTACACAGGCCATGTTTTGAAGTATTTGTGGGCAAGACAGCACAATGGCCTGTGTAACAGGCATCAGGAGGCCCGAGGGAGAATTACCAACAGCAACAAGGGGCACCAAGTGTCGAGGAGCCTCACCCATCCAGCTGGATTCTCTTTTATCACACAGGGGGTCAAGCATGGAAATATATTTGTGCATGGAGATCTCAGTGCATCAGTACACACCACAGTGGAAAACAGTTCAAAGAGGGCAAAATGAAACTTGCAACTTAAAACACTGACAAGACCCCCAATCCATGTTAATTCCAAAGTAAACGTGTTGACTTACTGCTTCTTCTTCCTTGCTGAGGAGTTTGGCACATGACAGAAAGTCTTCGTACTTTGCATAAGGAATAACTGGTTCCGGAAGTTCTCTGAGATACAGTTTAAGAAGGGATGCTACTGTGTGTACATCGGTATTGCTGCAGAGACAGAAGTTTGGAGACTTTAGAGTCAACTTTGTATGATTTCATTCATGTTTTCACTAAATAAATATATAAAAGAGTGTTATCCATGTCTGTAACTGAATCTGTTAATCCAGTTTTCAGAAAGCATACACTCCTGAAATATCAGGTAGATGTCACCCTAGGTGGGAGAAGAAGGACACTGAACGACACTTTAAATCTTCAGCATGGTCTGAAAACATTTAGAAATTCAAATGTTTTTCTAATGTGTGTAGTTGATGAAAAAAAAGCATTAACCATTGGAAAATAAGAAGAACATAGCAGATCATAAATGAAAAAGGACATAATTTACAAAGAATCAAATCTATGTGTGCATGTGTATTTATTATTATTATTATTATTATTATTATTATTATTATTATTTGATCTTTTTGAGACAAGGTCTCCTTGTAGCCCCAGCTGGCCTGGAACTCTCTTTGTAGACCAGGCTGGCCTCAAACTCACGGAGATCCACCTGCTTCTGCCTCCCAAGTGCTGGGATTAAAAGTGTACGCCACCATGCCTAGCTGATATATATATTTTGTGACTCCCCACTTTATCTTATCAAATTAAGTTGAACTTATTTTCAGGAAAACACTGAAAATTGGCTACAGATATTTGAAGCCTTAGCATAAAAAGTTCAGCACAGCTTATTTTGAATATAATTGACTCTCATCATAATTGCTTGTCTAATGTAAAATTCTTGAGATCTCTCAGAGTCCTCCAAAAGGAAAAAGGAAAATGTTATGAACATTTAATATGACTTTTTACATAACCTATATAATTTATTTTATCCTCCACTGAACACCAGAATGGCAGGATAATGTGCAGAAACATTAATTTATATTTTGCTGTTTTTAATCTCTCATTTCCTGTTAAACCATGAAGAGAGATGACAGTAAAGGCTAGAACAATGTTTGGGATAAATATATTAACATAATATGATATATTATATTATATGCAATATTTGTAGCACATGTAATATTATAATATAGACATTTTGGAGGGGTGAAGAAACAAGAATTGCAAAATTAATCCCCATGACCCAGGAACAGTGGTAGTGAATGATTGGGGATTCAGTTAGAAATCAGAACTTGCACCTTACTCTCAGGCTGTGGTCTGGGAGACCAAGTCCCTGGAGGACTCTGCTTGAATAAGCTGGAGTATAGGCAGTAGGCTGTCCTGCCTAATGAATATTCTCTTAACCCAAAGGTAATATAGCTATAGAGTCTTTACAAAACTATATGAGGCAAACCCATGTGCCTCCAGGCACTCAAGTTTTGATTAATGTGTTGATTTCATAGGAATTCACTGCACATCTACTCTGTATAGAGTATTATAGCAAAACAGTGGCTAGGACCTTGGAGGTTAAAGAAAAAAAGGCATTATTCTAGCCTGGTCATCACATGGTGTCCTGTGGGTGCAGCAGATACTAAGTTGATATTAAGCTTGGGATTACAGTGTGGCGAGGAGTAACAACGAAAAGTGTTTCGTGCTATCTACTGACAAGGGTAGACTAGTCTAGGGTCTGGAGAGCTTCTCTGAGACGAGGCTGGAGTGGAGATCCAAAAGGCATATGAGAATGGACAAACAGAAAGCCAGACAGAAGAGGATATTCCTGACTAAAGCCGGGGGCGGGGGGGGGGAGTGGAGCATGACTTAAGCAAGTCTCATGCCCTTGAGGAACTGGTTTTGGTGCTCAGAGCCCAGGATGGAACTGGGTAAGGCTAGAGCAGTGGGCAGTTTCTTCACAGACCACACAGACTTTCTCCTAGCTCCGTGCAGGGTGAAAGCTTTCCATTTTCACACTGGAGACTTAACAGGTACACTGTAAAAGATTTTGCAGAAGTTAAATTGTTTATTTGATGTAAGAGGAGGAGCTTCTTGTTTGATTAATTTAATTTTCTCATAACTTTATAACTAGTTATTTTATAAGACTTGAAATTGATGGACAGTATAAAAGAGGTCATCTTAAAAACATATAAAGATCGTATCTCTAGGATAGCTTGGAAACTGTGACCAAGTTATTAATTCCAAAGACCACTTCCAATTTTACATCTATTTATCTGTTTTATATGTGTATTCCTCTCTCCTCTCCTCTCCTCTCCTCTTCTCTCTCTCTCTCTCTCTCTCTCTCTCTCTCTCTCTCTCTCTCCCTCTCTCTCTCTCCTCTGTTTACCAGTTCTCTCCTTCTACAATGTAAATTCTAGGGATCAAATGCAAACCATCAGGCTTAGTGGCAGGTGCCTTTTACCCACCAAGTCATGTCTCTGATTCTATTTAAAGTTATTTAAGAAAATGATGAACTCAAAATAGTCTCAGTGGTAACTTAAGACATTACTAGGAGTACTTGCTATTTACTGATAATGCATTCTATTTCACCCATATCAAAAAGCTCTGTGTTTCTCTCCCTATACAGAAAAACACCTGACCCTTGTAGATGGTACTCATGGTAATAAAGCTACACAACATGGGTCAGAATATGAAATGCCATCAAGTATTCTGATAATCTATTTCCTCTTTTTCATTTTCACAGAAATCCAATCTACCATCATGATTGATTTGGGTCTGTTTTGCCTTCGGAGTCAAATGGCAGCTTTTAAACCTACAAGTGAGTACACAAAATAATATGAAAGTAAGAACAAAATGTATGCATATATTTCAGTATTAAGAGTAGGCTATGTAGAGCTGGTGTGGTGTTGCACGCTTTTAATCCCAGCACTGAGGAGGCAGGGGCAGGCTCATCTCTGTGAGATGAGGCCAGGCTGGTCAACATAGAAAGTTTGGACTATAGGGATACCCTGTCTCAAAAAAAAACAAACAAGCAAAAAAGTAGGTTACGTGTGCCTGAATGGCAATACGATAGACTATATCTAATATTTGAGTAAATGCAATCAGTAAATAGATGATGATAAATAAGTTGCATTGCTTCCTCTATCCCCAGCACTCTAGAATATATATATATATATAGTTTTCAAAACTGAATACATATACACATATATTATATGGTTTTCCAAACTGATTTTCTGACAAAGTATTTTTTGTGATCAGGCATTGAGAACATTTGAACAGTAGGTGGCGCGGTTGCTAAGTTAAATTTCGGAGAGAGCAGAAATCGGAAGGAGAAAAAGCTGCAGGATCCTTCTCAACCAGCAGGTTTTCTAGCAAAGCTGCAACATGCTCCAGAAGAGAAACATATGAACGACGAGCAAAGGTAAGTCAGGTGGGGCAGAATGGTTATTTTATTCCTTCTCTGCAGTGATACACTACAATCAGTTTTCTAGCACTACATATATATGCACATTGCTAATTATATTTCAAAGATGAAACAAATATGGGCAGATCTATTTCCCCCTTTATTCAGTTAATGAAAGATTATTAATTTTTTTGAAAGGCTAAACTTTAAAAATTATGATTAATTCTGGGGTTTTATTAAACTTCAGGCACTGTGTAGAAATAAAGACATGCATTTGTCGAGCATTCTTGTTTTGGGATTTTGCCTTTCCCACCAAGTGGAAGAGAATAGTCACTTCTGGACAAAGTGCAGCATGCTGTCTGTTCTGCTCACCCCACGAGGCTCTTGGTCAGACTGCCCCAACTGCTGCCAAGCTGCTCACAGCAGCAGGGAAGGGGAAGTCTGGGACGTCTCTGAAAATTCTCTGTCTTTCTATAAAATAGTAGTTTTCTGCACTTGACTCTCCAGCTTTATCTCTCTTAATGAATACCTACTGCTTTTCCTAATCAATATTTATTTGACTATGTGCATCCAATTAAATACTGGTATTATGTGTCATTACCCAGTATACATTTTCCTTCAGAGGAATGTATCTCAGTGTTCACCAAAGTGAAGTGAAATGATTTGTCATGGCAGAAAACCCTATACACAACAGAGAACCAAATCCCCTCACCTGGTCAATAATAATACTAGTGACACCTGCACACAGTTGACCTTCACCATAGAGCAACCAGTAGGTTCTGTGACTCACCTGACTTACGAATTCCTTTGCAGATCACTACACAGGAATTCTTCCTGGCTAGTAGTGCACAGCTGAGGTACTCTTTCGGTAAGAGCTTGGAACTATTTGGCAATGTGTTATACACAGACTCAAGTTTATTGATGGTATAATCTGTGCAGAGTTAAGATAATGAATCATATATACTATATCCAGACATCAAGAAGGCAGGCAGATGTAGGTTCAAAGACCCTGGTAAAAGAGGGATCAGATTGGGGAGGCTCTGTAACTACAGCTTCTTTAACTGATCAGAAGACACTTCATTTCCATATGTCCTATGTGAAGGACTTCATTTCTGAATCTTGTTTTACTGTACAAAGTATTTCAAGAGAAAGTTCATGGATGCTTTCTGTGAAGAACTAATTATGCCTTCTTGTGGGTTACCTGCTGTTCTTTCTGGGATCATGTGCTGGCTGAACAGTTCCTGAGCATGTGTGGTGTACACGACCCCATGCTTCTTGTTAGATGGAGGAGAAACCAGTCACATAGATCCTTTCGTCCTCCACACACTTATGTCTCCAATGGTATACCATCAACATTTTCTATACTATGTCCCCTCACTTTCTGCTTCTTTTCATTACCTGTGTATTCTAACTGCTACAACAGGTGCATGATTTTTAAGAACATTCTCTAGACTTTCTGGAAGTTTACAATATTAAAATACTCTTAATTTTTCAGTAGGGAAAAATGATCTTACAAGAATCCCTCCTTGCTTGTCCTTGAACCCGTCTTCCTTTAATAATGCTCTCTCTCTCTCTCTCTCCCTCTCTAATGCCACCAAAATTACAAGTTTAATCCAACACAGATAAAACCTTATAAATTTTAAGCCTCAAAATTAGAAATGGTAATTTTTCAGTCTGTATACTATGTACAGGATGCAATATAATCAATCCCTTGATTCAGCCCCACACAATGACTCTCCAAAGCATTCACACAGAAAGTCATTACAGGTATTGTGAAGTTATC